CACTTGTAAAGTTAATGGAGTCGCTCTCCAACTGAACAGTTTCGGTTGCTCTCAGTTCGATGCGACGCGACTTGATTTCTTCTTGCAGATTAGCAAACGGAAATTCGGATGAATAGCCAATATGCAAGTTTTTACCAATTCTGGCGAAGGATACGTAGGGCAGATCTGTCCATGTTCTTCCAATTAATAGGTCATAGGGTTGGGCATCATCGTTGACAATGAATACAGTGATTTCCCTTCCGACGATGCCATCAATCTCCAGGTCGACTGTCGTCTTCCCAACGGTCCTGGCAGCTGGTGCAGTCTGGTTACCGATGCCGTACAGACTAGTCGAGTCTGGTTCGATGTCGACGCTGATCCTCCTTGCGACCGATTCTCTCATTAGACAACTGCTGCTCCCGGTGTCTATCATTGCCTTCACGGTTTCCTTGTTGTCGATCTTGACATCCTTCAAATATACATCTGGCGGGACAGTCTCCAGTCCTTCGACTTCCAGGTTGGCTACTTTTAGTCCTTCTTTGGGTCTTGTGCAATTCCTTTCCTTGTGTCCCGTTTGACCGCATCCTCGGCATGTCAACGTAGTCCTGGGTGCTGGGCAGTCTCTGGCAATGTGTCCAAACTGATTGCAGTTGAAGCACTTCGGTTCTCCCTTGTCGTTTCTGATCGTACGGTTGACCATTCTCCTCAAGGTGTTAGGGTACGTTTCACTGATTTCGTTCCTTGCAGCGTCTTGACCCGAAACATTCGTTCCTTGTTTAGTCTCTTTAACTTCGCTTTGGTTGGGGAATCTCGCAGATTTCTGCTGAAACGACGGTGGTATGAGGTGTTTCGCATTCCAATGCGGAGGTCCCATCTCGGTGCGAACATTTTCGTACTCGTCCAGTTTATCCGCCAACTCATCTGGGTTGTTTAACTTGGTCCAATCGTCAATGAGATGATTACGCAGCACATTTGGAACTTTTTTCTTTAGCTGGTTAGTGACGGACAAATCCTTTAGGGCGTCGAAATTTTCCACGTTCATTCCTTCGATCCATTCGTTGAAATATCCTCGCAATTCGAAAGCGAAGTCTCTCCAGGAACCCTTTTGAGATCTCTCGTGCTTCTCGAATTTTTGTCTGAATTGTTCGGGGCTCAACTTGTACCGTTTTAGGAGCAACCTTTTCATGAACCTATAATCGCCGCTTTGTTCTTCTGTCTCCCGAGCGATTAATTGAGTCATTTCGTAAGGTAGCAATCCTAGGAGGCTGAACGCCCATTGGTCTTCATCCAATCCTAGTCGCTTTGCCTGTCTTTCGAAAAGAATTAGGTAAAAACTCAAATCATTGTCCTTCGACTCGTACTTGGGCATCAGTTTACGTATCTCGTAATGTGCGTCATTGCTGGTACTTCGAGACGTATCGTTGTTTCCGCGTGTAGTCTGGATGCGCAGCTTCTCAAGCTCGAATTCCATTACCATTTGTTCTTTTCGTTCCCGTTCGATTCGTTCCCGATCCTCGATTCGTTTCCGATCCTCGATTCGTTCCCGCTCCTCGATTCGTTCCCGATCCTCGATCAGAGTCTCCAACAGTTGCTTTGCGAACTCTTCTTCGTAAGATTGGCTATTCAAAATAAGGTGTTTTAAGTCGACGATCCTGCTCTCTGGCGGTACTACCTCGCCGAGTTCATACGCCAACTTGCTCAAATCGCATTTCCTTACTTTCGCTAAATAAGTCATGTTTTTCAAAAGGAAAAATAAACAAAGCAAAAATTTTAAAATAAACAAATAAAACTGACTAAACCAGATACGTACTGTTTCAATTATTTCTTTAAACGAAATCAACTTTTCTTTAGAAATTTTGAGACAATACTTTTTTTTTTCTTTTTACCGCGATACTTTGCGATAATACTTTTTATCGAGATGATTTTGCAATAATACTTTTACCGCGATACTTTGCGATAATACTTTTATCGAGATGACTTGCAATAATACTTTTACCGCGATACTTTGCGATAATACTTTTGTCGAGGTGACTTGTAATAATACTTTTACCGCGATACTTTGCGATAATACTTTTGTCGAGGTGACTTGTAATAATACTTTTAGGAATAGGTAATTAAATTTCGTACATACCATGCAACTCCTCTTACGTTGATCGGTCACCGCGCCAGGTCCTTCTCGTTTCCAAATTATTCCAGTGAATCTTCAATTTTCTTCAGGACTATCCCACTTCTGAATTTCTGTTGGCTTCCGTAGGCGTTTCTTACTGGGAAAAAGAAAGAGAGGATCCAATGAAATAATTTAGTAGCGTTTATTAAAACAAAATCATAATAGTGAACAACACATATAACAGAGAGTACCGTCGTCTTCCGGGTATTCCTTCTACTGGGGAGCTCGGATTCTATATTCTGTGCGTTTATAATCTGTTTATCTGTGGCTCTCTGGTCGGGATGGCGCCTACAGTATGTTTGTTTGTTTGTATGTTCGGTATACAAATTCGCAGTAGTTCACTAATTCAAACCAAAATTTCCATACATAGGTAAAGAAATACGGGGAAAACGATAGGCTATTTTATAAAATATATATAAATCAATTATTAAAACTATATATTCAAATTATTATATTTAGCTCACGAACAGCGCCCTCTATCAAAGATTAGATTAAATTATGCTGATGCAAACAAATAGATAATGCTAATAACAAACAATTATTTAAAAAATCTTATCTAAATATATATCACTCGGGTAGATATGCACACGGGAAATCCCAGGGCGAAGCCTGGGTGACCCGTCTAGTCTATATATATAAAAATGAATGTCTGTCTGTCTGTCTGTGTGTGTGTGTGTCCTCTATGGATTCAAAAACCATACATCCAATCGCCGTGAAATTTTGGGATATTATTAGGTGTATCCCCGGAAAGGTTTACGAAAAAAAATTTCTTGAATATCTTGAATATCCTTAGAGTTATTTGCAGATTTGTATATTTAACTCGCAAGCAGCGATACCATTGAGACGGAGATAGGCTTAGTTTGCTGCTCCTGATGACCTTGGGTCATCGTGCGAGTCACAGCTCTGGGGATTTTACAGCGTCGACAACCTGTAAGATTGCCTCTCTCATATATTATACTTTAAACATCTGCTTAATTAAAGCATTTTTCATTTGAAAGAGACTGCTCTTTTAACCCCCTTTAGACAACATTAAATGATATCCCGTGTCGATGATTTTGTAATGTATAGAATTAGGAAAGACAAAATTCACGATGACACGGCTCACAGGGAACGGTAAAAAATGTTCACTTTATCGAGGAAATACAAAATTCGGGATGACACGGCACACAGGGACCGGGAAAAAATGATCACTTTATCGAGAGATTCACGACCATGGATTTTATTCAACTTATCGAGTATTTATCAAGGGACCGGGAAAATATGTTCACTAGATAAACCGATGATTTTGTAATGTAGAAAATTATGAAAGACAAAATTCAGGATGACACGGCACACAGGGACCGGGAAAAAATGTTCACTTTATCGAGAGATTCACATTTACGAGTTTCAAATTATCAAAATATATCTCTTTTATTTTATAAGTTTATAGAGAATTGTTTTAACAAATGTTCGTTAGACAAACCTTTACTCGGGTAAAACCTCGGGCGAAGCCGGGTACGTCCGCTAGTACTAGATAAAATAAAACATTCTTTTTCATCATTTCAGTGTCCCGTCGGTGACCCACTTTTACACTTTCAAGGAAAACCAATCTGATGATATTTTTCTTTAGACAATTAATGACGACGGTAAAGAAGTGTGAAGCGTGCATATAGCCACGTTACAAACCTTACACGTTTCATAAAATATTCTTAAACAGAGGGAAAGTCAATAAGATTGTATATTATGATACATTAGCGCGCCATTTGTTAGAAGAATTCGAAACTATTATAGATGCGTATATGATTCTTTTAAAAATTAAACAATTCTCTACTGCCCACTGCAATGAAAAATTAATGGGAGGGCCTGGCTCATCTGTGGTGAACCCTTCCAGCGGTTTAGCCAGTTTAATCTACCATCATCAGTGGTGAACCCTCCCAGAAGTTTCGCCAGTTTAATATACAATCATCAATGTTGAACCCTCCTAGTGGTTTTATGATAGTTAAACTAGCGAAAGCGCTGTGAGGGTTCACTACTGATGAGCTAGGATATCCCATTAATTTTTCACTTCAGTAATGAGCAGTTGAAAATTGTTTAATTTTTAAAAGAATCATACGCGTCTATAATGGTTTCGAATTCTCACAAGATTGTATTTCTTGAAAAGAGGGGCAGCGGATCATTGTAACAGTGTTTATAAAGAAAAAACGGTTGTAGTCAATAAATGAACCTATTTACAAATTCTAATCTTCAAAAGTGATTTTTATAATAAAAAGAAAGTATTCTAATCAACTGATTGCAACTGAAATAAAGTAAAATGTTAATTTGAGAAAGATATTACAACATTCGGAATGAATTATTTTCTACCTATAGAGAGCTGGTGACACGTTTAGAGACACTATTACTTGTAAAAGAAAATCTAAAGTTACAATATGACACCTTTTATCAATTATATGTCCATATCAATCTGTGTATTTTTATAATCATGCCTATATCAAAAAGTGTCCCTTGAAACTTTTATTTTTCTGTTAATCATTACTCTTCACAATTCATCCTCTCTCTCTCTCTTTCATACTTCATTCTTAAGGATAGGAATAGTTGTTATTTATTCTTAAAATAAATTACGATTTTTCGTTCAAAAGAAACATTTGTGGTAAAACTTGGTAAACGTCATTCTATATCAATCTTATGTTCTTAATTTGCTTAAACACCTTAGCCAAGATTCTACCTCTCAAAATCGTATATTTAAGAAGAATTGTTCAAAACAGTACTAGAGCTATAAAAGGTGGTCTAGTGAATCAAGTAGCAAACTATGTTTTATAGTTAATGATAATAGTAATGATAGATATTCTTGTCACTCTATTAAGAAATTTATAATTAGTCCAGGGTAGCCTAGTGGACATGGCATCTGCCATGTAAGCAAAACACTGTGAGTTCGATTTACATCCCTGGACACTTTATTTTCCCGTTTGTCATTACTCTTCACCATTCATCCTTTAATACTTCATCCCTAAGGTTAGAAATAATCGCTATTTCTTCTTAAAATAAATTTCGATTTTTCGTTCAAAAGAAACACATGTAGGATAATTTTCAAATTTCGTTCTACAATCATATGACGCAATATATTGTTTTATAAATTACTTTATATAATATTAACGAACGGAAAAATAAGTCCAGGGTAGCCTAGTGGACATGGCATCTGCCATGTAAGCGGAACACTTTGAGTTCGATTCCCCTCCACGGACACTTTTATTTTTCCATTTATCATTACTCTTCACAATTCATCCTTTCATACTTCACCCTAAGGTTAGAAATAATCGTTATTTCTCTTAAAATAAATTTCGATTTTTCGTTCAAAAGAAACACATGTGGGATAATTTTCAAATTTCGTTCTACAATCATAAGCCGCATTATATTTTATTATAAAATACAATATAGAAAAAATTCAGTAAAGCGGACAATTGGGCTTACATTTGGAAAATGAGAGCGAAGATACAGTCAAGTTGATATAGAATTAAGTCTGCAAGAAGGAAGTGTTACTAAAGAGGTGTTGTCGGGCAATCTCTCCATCAGGAACGGCTAAGGGGCAGGACAAAAGGCTGGAGTTTATTGAGCGGATTAGATCCATGAAAATGGAAAATGGGACGAGTGCAACGTTCGGCAGGGGATCAGCCTACAAGTCAGGGTCATCCAGAACTTGCGTCATCTTAGTGGAAAGGAACGCTTTGAAAGAGTGCGAACTACTGGCCATGAGATTATCTGACGTAATTCACTCAACTGAATGCCTGAAAGTAGGCGAGAATAATCTAATGACAAGATATTGAAGGCATGTCCATTTTACTATAATAATTTGCTTCATACCTTTAGGACGACTGTGATAAAGCACAATCAAACATTGTATCTCTTTGCGAATTCACCTTTTGTTATTGAGGAATATTGTAGGCAAGCAACAATCGTTGGAGAAACAACGTAAAAATATAAATATGTAGAAGTCGACCCTTTGGCAGAAACCTCTCCCAGTACTAAATCTGGGGGTCGGTGGAAAGATGGTCTAAACCGTTGGTTTTCGACCGCTACGACCCGGATTCGATTCCCGCATTGTGCACTTTTTTCTGATTTAAAAATAATGCTCCAATGGCTCACCATTCTTGCCAAAAGTCTAACCCCACTAGTGAGTGCAAGTAACCAAACGTACTCTGGCACATTTGTAAGTGAAAAATCGAACTACTTTTCACATGTGTAGACATGTGGACCACTAACAGTAAAAGCAGCCGCCTACTTATACCCACCATGATTAGCATGGCCTGAACCACGTATACTAGGGATAAACAGAAAAAAAGTACTAACTCTTCATCGCGACAAAGTTCAATTCACATAGGTCAACTATTGTTAAAACGTTTGTAAGATAAACTACCAAACAAACAAACTCCCATATTTATTTCTATTTATACAGATAGAATGTCAATAATGCCAATATGAAACAATAAGTCCTAATAAATTATTTATTTATTTTCTGTATCAAATATTTGTGTCATTGCAATATAAGAGATACCTTATAAATCAAATAACAAAAAAATAGTTTTTTCTTATCCCTAGTACACGTGATACAGGCCATGATAATCATGGTGAGAACAAGTAGGCGACTGGTTTTACTGTAAGCACGCCACATGTCTACACATGTGAAAAGCACTTCGACTTTGTACTTACAAATGTGTCAGATATCCGTTCAGTTACTCGCACTTGCTGGTGGGGTTGGACTTTTGAAAGAATCGGAGGCCATTGGAGCATTATTTTTAATCAGAAAAAAATGCCCAATGCGGGAATCGAACCCGGGTCGTAGCGATCGAAAACCAACGGTTCAGATCATTCTTCCTCTAACCATCATAATTTTAAATTAATTACAATAACTTTACAACTTCTTTTGTAATTAAAGTTATGTGTTGATGTCCTTAAAAATGTAGTAAAATTATTTTTTAAATGTAAGCATCTTTTATAAAATTTAAGATTTTCTTTAAGGGTAAGTACATAAAAGATTTCAAAGGTGGGATAATTAATTTGAGGACCCAAGTTTTAGATAGAGATTCCTTACGCTAATGACATTGTATTTTTAAATATTAATGAGATAAATAATTAATTCGTTTATTCATTAAATTATTTTTAGAAGATGAAATTTTTAATAATATATTAATTTGTTAGAGTTTCCCTTTAACGCACAATATAACTAATCATATATGAATGTTTAAGAGAGAAGAAGGTAAAATTTTCTAAAATATTTTAGAGATTTAATTAAGATATTGAAAATATATTTTAAAAAGGCATAAAACTACTATACCCTCATCGTTATTATGTTTCTTTTTTTTTACATATAGAGCAATTTCATACTGCTTTTATATTTTAATGATAAAATATTGTAGAGTCCAGACTCATCTGTGTAAAACCCTCTCAATATGGCAATATGGCAGTAAAGACAGTTTAAAATGTTTATTCGAAAAATGAACATATAGGTGTAAATAGTTTATAATATCAATTATACAGTATAGGTGCACTTACATCATTTTAATAACTGTCACATTATTTTTAAGGCAATCAATTTATTTTTCTTCTTTCTTATCTCCACACTGGGTGAAGTAGAATGCGTTTGCCTTTGTCATTAAGACTGGGAGCACTACACAGTGGCAGGCCGACTCAGTTCCAAAAGAAATGGTCGCCTCTGACATGAGGAACAGACGCCATGTGCAGCCGCTCCTAACATGGAGTACAAACGCTGCTCATCCCTGGATTAGGCGCCCTTACATGGTACTATCAGCCGGGCCAGCTGAGCCCAGGTTTTTACAGAGTTTGCGACTGCTCCCCCTCCTCCTTTTCATACGGGCTTGGGACCGGCAAAGGCGGAGTTAGGCAATCAATTTATGTGTAGGTAATTCAATTAAGAAAGATAAAAATATTAGCATAAATAATTAGGCATTTATTAAATATTAAATTTTTAAATTATTTTCAATAAATATATATATAAAAAACGTACCTGGATCTGTTAAATAAAATATTTTTTTCTCAAAATATTTCGTGAGATTGCTCCCTCTTTATCAATTTATTGCACAGTAAACCTAATTTACAAATTCTTGTAGATCACATGGAAACAACTTTGTCATTGGTCAAAAAAATGTAAATTAAGTTTACTGCGCAATGAATTGATAAAGAGGGAGCAATCTCTCGAAATATTTCGAGAATTATTTTTTTTTCTTTATAGTTTCAGGTACGCCATTTTTTATATAAACTTATTTATTGGATCAGTTTTTGACTCAAATTTAAAACTGATCGATAAAATTATCTGAGATTCTAATAATTAGTTGTAATAACTTTCTATATTAAGCTAAATAATATAGAATATTTCTTCGTCTGGGTTTCATCTCTAATATGAAATCATATGGAGTCAAATTTTATATATGAAAATGAAAATCAAACTCTTTATTTTCATGGAGTTAATTCCCATCTCAAGTCGAATTTTGGTGACTATATAGACAAATCTATATATATAAAAATGAATGTATGTCTGTTTGTCCTTTATGCCTGACCAAACCACTCATTGGATCGCCATGAAACTTTGGGAAGTTATTTAGTATAGTACTGGGAAGGTTTCTAGCAAATAAAATTTTTGAAATAACTTTTCGCCTAGATATAATCAAGATAAATATTCTAATTTATCTGTTATAATTCAACAATCTGCTCTAAATATTATCATGATGATACGATGATTTTGTAATGTAGAAAATTAGGAAAGACAAAATTCAGGATGACACGGCAATTTATTTGAGACAAGAATAATGATACAATTCCAAGGCAAGATACTATTCCTCTAAATTCCAATTACGGAGGGAACCAATTAATAATGATTTTATTCAACTTATCGAGTATTTTTCAAGGGACCGGGAAAAAATGTTCACTTTATCGAGAGATTCGTTAGACAAACCTTTACTCGGGTAAAATCCGGGCGAAGCCGGGAATATCCATTTCGTAGCTACACCGTCTCTCCAAGAGGCAGTCTCTTATTAAAGGTCTATTAGAGATTCTTTAATAGCAATTAGAATCTTCAATGAGAGACCACCAACAGGAGAAACAAGGTGATTCATATTTTTAGGTGGTCTTTCTTAAGAGACTCTATTTACATATTTAAAATATGAAAAAATTAAAATATTTTAAAATTAAAATATTTTAAAATCAACATTTTCTTACTGTTACGTTTAAATACTGTTAATATCTATATATATAAAAATGAATGTATGTCTGTTTGTTTGTCCTTTATGCCTGACCAAACCACTCATTGGATCGCCATGAAACTTTGGGAAGTTATTTAGTATAGTACTGGGAAGGTTTCTAGCAAATAAAATTTTTGAAATAACTTTTCGCCTAGAAATAATCAAGATAATTATTCTAATTTATCTGTTATAATTCAACAATCTGCTCTAAATATTATCATGATGATACGATGATTTTGTAATGTAGAAAATTAGGAAAGACAAAATTCAGGATGACACGGCAATTTATTTGAGACAAGAATAATGATACAATTCAAAGGCAAGATACTATTCCTTTAACTTCCAATTACCGAGGGAACCAATTAATATTGATTTTATTCTACTTATCGAGTATTTTCTCAAGGGACCGGGAAAAAATGTTCACTTTATCGAGAGATTCGTTAAACAAACCTTTACTCGGGTAAAACCCGGGCGAAGCCGGGTACATCCATACAAGAATAATGATACAATTCCAAGGCAAGATACTATTCCTTTAACTTCCAATTACCGAGGGAACCAATTAATATTGATTTTATTCAACTTATCGAGTATTTTTCAAGGGACCGGGAAAAAATGTTCACTTTATCGAGATATTCGTTAAACAAACCTTTACTCGGGTAAAACCCGGGCGAAGCCGGGTACATCCATACAAGAATAATGATACAATTCCAAGGCAAGATACTATTCCTTTAACTTCCAATTACCGAGGGAACCAATTAATATTGATTTTATTCAACTTATCGAGTATTTTTCAAGGGACCGGGAAAAAAATGTTCACTTTATCGAGAGATTCGTTAGAAAAACTTTTACTCGGGTAAAACCCGGGCGAAGCCGGGCGGGTCCGCTAGTATTCTATAATTTTCCCATATATGTTTCTTAGCAGTATTTGATATATAAGTGGTTTTCCAGTGCTGTCTTCCATCTATGCTGTTGGCCTAATAAATTTAGCTCTTC